GTTCCTCTGGAGGGCCAGCAACAGGGCATAGAGGCCTTCATAAGAACAGCTCTGCTGGATCAGACCAGTGAGGGTCCATCTAGTCCAACATCCTGTCTCACATGGCGGGCAGCCAGTTCCTCTGAAGGGCCAACCACAGGGCACAGAGGCCAAGGTGTTCCCCTAAGAAGAACATCAGAAGTGCCCTGCTGGATTAGACCAGTGGTCCCTCTAGTCCAGCCTCCTGTCTCACACAGTGGCCAACCAGTTCCTCTGGAGGGCCCACAACAGGGCAGAAAGGCCGAGGCCTTCATAAGAACGTCAGAAGAGTGGTTCACCTAGACCACCATCCTACCTCACACAGTGGCCAATCAGTTCCTCTGGAGGGCCAACAACAGGGCACAGAGGCCGAGGCCTTCATAAGAACCTCAGAAGAGCCCTTCTGGATCAGACCACTGTCTCGTACAGTGGCCAACCAGCTGCTCTGGAGGGCCAACAATGGGGCATAGAGGCTGAGGCCTTCATAAGAACAGCTCTGCTGGATCAGACCCATAGTCCATCTATTCCAGCATCCTACCTCACACAGTGGCCAACCAGTCCCTCTGGAAGGCCAACAACAGGGCACAGAGGCTGAGGCCCCTCCTAAGAGCCCTGCTGGATCAGACCAGTGAGGGTCCATACAGTCCTGTCTCACACAGTGGCCAACCAGTTCCTCTGGAGGGCCAGCAACAGAGCATAGAGGCCAAGGCCTTCTCCTGATGTTGCCTCCTGGCACTGGGATTCAGGGGTTGACTGCCTCTGAACATGGAGGTTCCCTTCAGTCACTGAGGCTAGTAGCCACTGCTAGACCTCTCCTGTGTACAACATCCCTGTTCCTCTGACACTCCCCTGGCCCGCAGATGTCTTCTCCCTGGGCCACACGGCCACTGATGCGAAACGGATTCAGGCTGGCTGCCAACTTCAGATTAGCCAAGTCATTGTTTTGCTTTTATATAACGGCTTTATACAGGTGCCCGTGCTGACAAAGGACCCCCTCCCTGCTCTGTTTGGCTATTTTTTTCCCTATATGTTTTTCCGTGGAGGCTGAAGATACTGAAATGGGGGTGGGGGCCCCAAGCCACAGGACTTTAGCTTTCTTGCCCGTCCAGTGTGTGTGCCACTTGTAGTAATTTTGCCGTGTGCGTTTGAATGTTCCCTGTTGTGGGGGGGGGGAGAAGAGGAGGAGGAGGAAGAGAAGAAGAAGAGATTGGATTTATACCCCTGCCCTTCACTCCCTAAAGGAGTCTCCGAGTGGTTTATGAACTCCTTTCCCTCCCCCTCCCTACAACAGGCACCCGGTGAGGCAGGTGGGGCTGAGAGAGCTCTTTCGAGGACTGCTCTTGAGAGAACAGCTCTGAGAGAACTTGTGACTGGCCCAAGGTCACCCGGCAGGCCTCGTGTATCTCTGCTTACAATCCCCTTTCCCTTCCCCTCCCCACAGCTGACACCCGGTGAGGCAGGTGGGGCTGAGAGAGCTCTTTCGAGGACTGCTCTTGAGAGGACAGCTCTGAGAGAACTTGTGACTGGCCCAAGGTCACCCGGCAGGCCTCGTGTATCTCTGCTTACAATCGCCTTCCCCTTCCCCTCCCCACAGCTGACACCCGGTGAGGCAGGTGGGGCTGAGAGAGCTCTTTCAAGGACTGCTCTTGAGAGAGCAGCTCTGAGAGAACTTGTGACTGACCCAAAGTCACACCAGCAGCTGCAAGTGGATGGGGGAGTGGGGAATCAAACCCGGTTCTCCCAGATTAGAGTCCGTACTCCTAACCACGACACCAAACTGGCGCTCAGAGACTTGAGGAATGGTGGAGGTCTCCGGGATACATGTTTGAAAGCACACGGGGTTTGGGGGGTTTTTTTTGGCTTATCCTTTTGTTTTTTTTAGCAAATCAACGCAGCAGCCACTGTTAATTCGGTACCTTACTTATTTCAGGCACAGGACTGTGCCAAGAGGAGCTAAGCCCCACCGACATCTTTCGTGCAGCTGTGGTTCAGCTGAATCCCACCCAGCACCAACGGAGTTCCCTCCCGGTGCCCTCTTCCCCCAGCTGTTCAGCTGACAGGCAGCTGGCTTAGGTGAAGACGAGAGTCTTTGCCAACCACAAACCGGTCTGGCGGAGTGCTGGGAGGGGGGTGACTCCCTCCTTAAAGTGGGATAATACAGGGATTGGCAGGTAATCTGGTTTGTTCCTCTGGCGAACCTCCTACTCTGAAATGGGTGGCGGGGGGGGGGTCCGCAGCAGGACAGAAGGGGATTTAAACTGGAGAGAGAAAGCCGGGCGCTAGCAGGTGAGGGTTAAGGCCATGATATCTGATCCATTCCGGAGACAGGGCTACACAGCAGGTTACTCTTGACCAGGGGTCATTTCCGGCGGGAGCGCACGGGAGCGAAGCTCCGGCAGTAAGGAGCCCAGGGGGCGGGCACATGCAACAAGCCCCGCCCCCTGCTCCCAGCAGCCCTCAGTCAGGCCACAAGGAGCAAGAAGCAGCCAGGTAAATTGCAGAGCCCCCCCCCCCAGCCCGCCTTCAGGTACAAGCTCTCCCTCCTC